CCAGAACTGGTGGCTTGGAAATCATGCCAAAGTGCACTTGTGTACATACCCAAAATCCGAAGAGGAGAATGGTGGAGAAGGGATTGCAGTGTGGCTATTCTTGCTGAGGGATGCTTTCTCATTTTCCCTTTGAGTCTCTCTTTAGTGAGCACACATTCCCTGTAGCAAATTTAAGGATAAAAAGAACATGTTCTCAATGCAGGGAAAAATATAATTGTACTTATAAACTGTTTTATATATACAAATTTGAGCTTCTATGCTACTTTATTTCTAATACATAGCACTATATATGGCACAAGAGATACTAAATTAATATTGCTCGGTTAATGCTATTTTACTATTCTTGGAGTTAGGCCATGGAACCATATGAATGCAAATGTTTCTATGATGAAATATTTGTTGTCTTTCTGTAATTAAAGTATTTGGGATATACTGCAAGGAGGAACTCAATAACAAATTTTGCTTGATGATGTGTATTTCAACAAGGTAGTAATATTCTCAAGAAAGTAACAGAGTTGTACTTATTGGGTTACCAGGAAAGGCATGACACAGGTTTGCATAGAAAAACAGAAAAATGCATCATGACTTTTCTGATGATCTATTAACACTACATCTAAAAAGTTTAGTAAAAAATACAGATGTGGGAACCAGCAGTTGGCGTAATGGCTACGTCGCTGGACTTCCACGTAGTCGACCGCGGTTCGTATCCCGGACCCAGTGGCTTAAAACTCACGCCGGGCGCGTGTGCGTGTGTGCCCAAGATCCCGAGAGGAGAATGGAGGAGAAGGGATTGTGGCGTGACCATCCCCCCTGGGGGGTGATTTCACGCTTTCTGTCTCTATGTCTCTCTCTGTCTGTCTGGCGAGCGCACGCGCCCTACAGTGAAAATCTCTCAAAAAAAAAAAAAAGTCAAAAAAAAATACAGATGTTTGGTTGTTCCCATGCCTTATGGTTAAGGCAACTGAGTTCACATTACCAACCACATGGCTCCAGTCCCAAACCTGGCAGCTTGAGAAATACTCTGGGCATGTGTATACGTGCTTGCCCAAAATCCTGAAAGGAGAGGGAGATGAAGGTGAAGGGATTATAGTGTGACTGCCTCCTATTGGCAGGCTTTGTCCTTTCCCTCTCTCTAGTGAGGGGACTTACCCTCTATTAAAAAAATACAGGTGTTTGCCAATAGCAGATATATGAATATTTAGAAAGTTATGGATAATTTAAAAAAAAGAAAAGAAACTTATTCATTGGAACCAGCAGGTGGCATGGTGGTTAACGCACTAGACTCCCACATGCTGACAAGTCTTGGACCTAGCCGCTTGAAAATCATGCTAGGTGTATGTACCTTTACACCCAAAATACTGACAGGAGAATGGAGAAGGGATTGCAGGGTGGACTTCTCCTGGGGGGGAGGGGTGTTGGTTTCTCACTTTCCTTCTCTCTGTCTCTTGTCTCTCTGGTGAATGTACACACTCTATGGCAAAAATCTAAAACAAAACAAACAAAATACCTTACTCATTTATGGGCTATCCCATGGTATGGTGGCTGGGGTGCCTGGGTCCTGCATGGCCAAGTGAATAACTTGAGTTATGTTTCTAGTAGATTGAAAAACACACTGGGCACAAGGGCGTACATGCCCAAAATCTCAGAAGGAGGGAAAAATTGAAGAGAAGAGATTATGGCATGACTATTCCCCATGGTGGGGGTGTGGGAGGTGGTGCTTTCTCAGTATCCCTCCTCCCTCCCTCCCTCTCTCCCTCCCTTCCTGGCTGGCTCCCTTGCTTGCTCCCTCCCTCCCTCTCCCTCCCTCCCTGTCTCCTTCCTTCTCCCTCATGAGCATAGTCTCTGGCAAATAAAAGGGGGAGAAGAAAAAATGACGACCCAGGTTAAGTTGATTGACTTTAAATTTTGCTTTTGTTTGCAACTCAGATAAGATTAAGGCTGTTTTTAGTCTTTGCTTTTTTTAGTTTAGGGAATTTTCCAGGCCTAGTCTCCATTACTTTAATTTTGCTTAGACAGGTCCTCCATTTTGGTTATCCTCTCAGCAAGTGGAGAGTGTGACCAGATAGTGTTACTCCCAGTTACCACTGTTCACGTAATTATTGGAATGAAAGGTGAGGTCCGTACTGTCATCATTAGTAGGTACACCAGCTGCTGGTCCCCCGGATATTTATGTTTTTATATTCATGCCTTCCCTCCACAGTTCATCCCTTCACAGCTGGAATCTCATGGAATCCCCGTTAAAAACTGGTAGATTGGGACCAACAGTTAGCATAATGCTATGTCGCTGGATTCCCATGTAGTCAACCATGGTTCGAGTCCTAGACCCGGTGGCTTAAAGTCACGCCAGGCATGTGTGGGTATGTGCCTAAGATCCCGAGAGGAGATGGAGGAGAAGGGATTGCAGCATGGCCATCACCCCTGGAGGGTGATTTCTCGCTTTCTATCTCTCTGTCTCTCTCTCTGTCTTTCTGGCAAGCTCACGCCACCTATGGAAAAACAAAACAAAACAAAACAAAAAAACTCTCCAAAGAAAGAAGAAAACAAAAAACCTGGTAGATTGTACTTCATGTGTTTTTACCACTAGGTGGCACTAGTGATCAAAATCCCCAAATGGATGCTGGCCTTTTGGGGTGATAGGAGGGAGAACCTTGTCACAACAATTTTAAGCTTCTTATATGAGGGTCCCTGCAGTTGGAAAAAAGAATCTGCGTGTACGCTTTTCTCCCTCTGAAAGCACAGAAAAATGTAGTCACATAGGAGAGACTAGGAGCAAGCCGTAAACACCAGATAGCTTAATAAGTAGGAAAGGAGTCAATGAATCTCTTAAGTTTCACATATGTGAGATTCAGAACTATATGGTGAATAGATTAAAAAAAAAGTTCATGAGAAAATGTATTTTAGTCCTTAGATTAAATTAATAATGTCTTATTAAAATGGCAGCTGTTGTCCCATTTAATAACCTAAAACCACTGTTCAAAATCACCTGCAGGGAACCAGCAGTTAGCGTAATGGCTATGTCACTGAACTCCCACATAGTCGACCATGGTTCGCATCCCAGACCCGGTGGCTTAAAACACGCTGGGCGTGTGTGCGTGCATGCCCAAGATCCCAAGAGGAGAATGGAGGAGAAGGGATTGCGGCCTGACCGTCCCCTCTGGGGGATAATTTCTTGATTTCTATCTATATGTCTCTCTCTGTCTGTCTGGTGAGCGCATGCGCCCTATAGCAAAAAAAAAAAAAACTCTCAAAAAAAAAAAAAATCACCTGCAAGTAGGGACCAGCGTTGGCTTAACAGCTGTGTTGCTGAACTCCCATGTAGTTGAACGCAGTTCGAGTCCCGGACCTGGTGGCTTAAACTTACGCCGGGCGTGTGTGCATGCATGCCCGAGGAGAGGGGATTGCAGCGTGGCCACCTCCCCCTGGGGGGTGATTTCTCACTTTCTGTCTCTCTGTCTCTCTCTGTCTTTCTGGCGAGCACACGTGCCCTATAGCAAAAACCTCTCCAGAAAAAAAAAAAAATGAGATTTTGATTTGGGAAATCTCAGGATGATATTCAGTAAACACTTTTAAAAATCACCTGCAAGTTTGAAGCTTACTTAAATGTCTTAAAGATACTGTGGATTCCAATCATAACAACTTCCTTGTTCAGTATCTAAAAATTTGGACAGAGTTACTAATGTGTTATATCTTTGCCTCTGTAACTGTATCAAGAAGTGACTCTAGTGCACCCAAGAAAGAAACTGGAGAAGTAATCCTTCTTTATATTCCAGGGATTTGAGTTGGTCACAGAACACTGGTCACTGCTCTATTGTGAGTTATTTTGAATTTAGGGCTTGCTCCTAATATCTCAGAAAAGGATTCTGAGCTATCCCACAAGTTGGGATGATTTAGCTATATGAAATATTTCTGTGTATCCTATTGAACATTTTTATTTTCTAAGAACTGCCAGAACTCTTGGGTCATCGGAAAAGTCATGGTGTATTTTCTTGTTTTTCTACGAAAAACTGCATCCTGACTTTCCCAATGACCCAACATTAGAACAAGTTCACTGTATTAAATGTTCTAGAAATATGTACTCTTCGCTTCTAAGATGTTCTCATTTGTCCAGTAATTTGTTTAGAAAAGAATACAGAAGCATGAATATGAAATTTATGGCAATGATTGCCTTGGCACTTACATAATATGAGTTTATCTAGGAACCCCTCTCTCACAATGTCTTTTTGTGCTGTTATAACAGAGTACCTGAGACTGGGTAATTTATAAAGAACAGAGATTTCATACAGTTCTATAGGCTGGGAAGTCTAAGGTCAAGAGCCTGGCATTTGGCAAGGGCTTTCTTGCATTGTCATCCATGGCAGAAAGTGGAAGGACAAGAGAGGACAAGAGAGGGGGAAAGTGGGCCAAATTCATCTTTTTAGCAGGAGCCCTCTCCTATAAATAATTCCCTCTTGCCATAATGACATTAATCCATTCACGAGGGTAGTAGAACCCTCATTCTCTAATTGTCTCTTAAAGGTCGCACCCCTCAACACTGTTGTGCTAGGGATTGAATTTCTAACACATGTACTTTGGGGAACCCTTTTGGACCATAGCAAGATGTTCCCCTGTCTCCTCAGCTTACTCTCTGAGGCACTAGCATGGCAGAGTAGACATCTAGTCTGCTTTGTCTGGTGAGGCAAAAAAAAAAAAAATCAAAACTCGTGGCCCTGCTGGCAGACCCTAGTGCCTTTCTAATACGGTCTTACAGGTGATTATCAGTCTTCTTATTTTAGGGATCTGAAACATGGCACTATAAGACTTCAAAAAGTTTATAGAAAAATAAAATTATGGTACATGTTTATTTTATCATGAAAAAATTTTAAAATCCATATACAGGTTTTATAATATGAACCGTCCATGAAATTTTTGAACACCCCCATCAAGTCTCCAGTGCTTTGAGCCATACCCTGGACCCTTTTCCCCAGTCCTGATCTAACACTCAGCTGCTTTGTCATTTTTAGAAAAATAACTGTACCATGCCTGAGGACATGAAGAACTTTTACCTGATGACTAACGGCTTCCACATGACATGGAGTGTGAAGCTGGATGGTGAGTTAGCTTCTTGCTGTAGGGGACCATTTCCCTGGCTGAGAGGTTGGATAGGATAACTCCAAAGCCTCTTATACTTACTGAGTCTGGTTCTGGATGGTTTTCTGGGTGCTCAAGTCCCGTGTCCAGAAGCTGTAATTATCTTCCAAGCCTAACGAATACCATTATTGCCTCACCCTCCACTATCCTGTGCTGCCTAGGCAATACTGTACTGGAAACTCAGTTTACAGGCACTACACAAAAAACCTGAGCCACCTCAAACTTAAAGCCTCTGAGCCTTCTGCCTCAGAACAAACCCCTCAAAGTAAGCTGCAGTGAGAGCCTCCAGTGTTCGCAGGAAGAGCAGAAGGGCCAGTTATCTCTCTCAGGCTCCTTCCTTAGTCTCACCATCATGAATACCTGGGATCTAATCCTCAAACCAGAGCCTTTCATTCTCTCTCATATCACCTTAGCCTGTGTCACCAACCCCCTCATTGTGCAGGCTGTCATCGTATAGCATGACCACGGCCTTATGCAGTGGCACTTGGTGCTTGCCACCTCCAGAGTCAGGCCTTCCGATTTCTTTTTGAATGCCACCTTGTAAAATTTTCGTTAAGTCCACCTTAATATTTGCAGTAAGACTCTTCATCACCCATGGTTCCCAGTTCCTTTTTTGCAGAAAGGTGGTTGTTGTGGGTCATGTAATGAGCTATCTTCTTTCCACCTTACATCAGGTCCTCAGCCATGGGACCAAGCGATAGCTGGGCTAAAGTTACTCAAGCATAAACCATTATGCTGTAACTAGTCTGTTACTCTATGTAATTCTCTCTTTTAATGTTCCCGTAGAACACATCATTCCACTGGGCAGCATGGCCATTAACAGCATCTCAAAACTGACTCAACTCAACCAGTCTTCCATGTATGCACTTCCTAATGCACCAACTCTGGAAGACCTAGAGGATGATATACATGAAGGTACCTGGTTAGAAATCAACCCACTTGTTCCCTTTTATAATAATCAGAGCCATGGAAAGACAATGTGACATTATAATGTGTTCCTTTAAACTAAAATTCTTCCCCTTTATAAATTCTTGGACCCTGGGAGTAAAGTAAACAAGTAGTATCTATCAACAAAAGAAATTTTCATACAGAAAATGGCCAGGGTTGGGATCTTTGTTTTCTTGCCATCACCCAAGTTTAGTGCTTCTCATGTAGTAGGCACTTCATGAATACTTGGTGAACAAATGAACGTTTTAGATTACACTTCACTCAGCATTTCAGTATCAGGAAGATTCGAGGAATATGGCAGTCTAACTACAGTTCCTTTTCTCTCTATTCCTACCTCCAAGCTCTTTGGTACTTCTGAGTGAAATGGCTTATAAGTCAAATTGGCATCTAAAACTCACAAGCATTGGGCAGGAGGGAAGACTTTCTGTCAGTTACAGTACCTAACTAGTGGTTTATTTTTATCCTGACAAATCTGGAACTAGGCTGGTGTAGCTGCTTGAAAAACCAAATGATAACGTCTCTTTTCTGGCTTTCCACTGCACCAATTTTGGGGTATAGTTTCCATCCCTGTAGTTGAAGATTGTAGACTATACCTCCAGGCTTCAGGTCTATGTTCCTGGTAAGGAAAAGAAGAGTAAAATGCAAAAGGCAAAAACAGTGACTCTTGGTAGAATCTCTCTCTTTTTATGAGGAAAACAATAGTTTTCTCAGAAACCTCTACCAATAATCATTATCCAGAAGAGCCAAAAAGTTCTCCATAGCTACAGATAAGTATGAGGAGGTAAGCATTTTTAGTTGCATGGTACTGCCTCCTCATACAGAATTGGAGTTTAATTTTAAAAGACAGGATGAGTCATGAGTATGCAACTAGTGTTCCCAGTACAGACCTTAAATTTCATTGAAGTCCTGGCAAAGAGAACTAATTTAAGACTTTCTTCCTTATCTGGACAAGCAGTTAGAAAATAGTAGCAAAAGAGTCTTAGAGTGAAGACTGGAAAGTGATGGACCCTGGGAAAAGCCTGTTACTCAGAATGGAATCCCCAAGAGTGAGGACAAGGTCATACTACCTTTATATGTGTGTGCTGGGGCTTCTCTAAAAAGCAAAGATGTAGTTAAATGGGTAGATGAGATTTTAATTAGGAACTTAAACCTACTCTAGTATGACTATACAAAAAGAGGATATTTGGGGCCAGCCAGTAGCCTGGTGGTTAAAGTAGCTGGATCCCACATGATGGACTGAGTGGCTTGAGTCCCAGACCCAGCAGTTTGAAAAATATATCAGGTACACGTGCATGCATGCCCCAAAGGAGAATGGAAGAGAAGGGATTGCAGCATGGCCATCCCCTCCCCTCAGGGAGGGTGATTTCTCACCTTCCCTCTCACTTTCCCTCTCTCTTTCTCTCTCTCTCTGATGAGGGTACATACATAATAGCCAAAAAAAAAAAAAAAAAAAAAAAGAAAGAAAAAGAAATTTGGACAGAGGCACACATAGGAGAATACCATTTAAAAATGGAGGTATTATTTGAGGTAATGCCTCTACAAACCAAGAAACACCAGGAACTGCCAGCAACCCACCAGAAGCTAGGGAAGGGTGTAGAACAGGTTCTTCCTCACAATTCTCTAAAGAAACTAACTCTGTGAACCCTTGTTCTCAGGCTTTTAGCTTCCAGAGTGTAAGATAATACCTTTCTGTTGTCTGAGCCACTTAGTTTGTGGTACTTTATTGTAGCAACCATAGCACATTAATATAAGGAGTGTTCCATCAATAGAGTGTAGAAAAGGAGAAAGTAAACTATCTCCTCCAACTGTAGTAAAGAAATAGTAAACCTTGTTGGGAAAAACAGAGTGTGTTGGTGTAACAGTTTTCTATTGCTGTATAACAGATTACCACAGATTAGAATGACTTAACACTTCACAGATGTACTTATTATTGGTTTTATTTATTCATTAACAGTTTGCATGAGTTAAGAATTCAGCTCTAGGTAAGCTGGCTCCCCTGCTTAGGGTCATACCAGGTGGAAATCAAAGTGAGCTGGGGCTATGAGCTCATTTGTGGCACAGGGACTTTCTCTAAACTCATGGTAGCTGACCATTTTCAATGTCTTACACTGTTTGCATCTTGGCCCCGGTCAGGGGTCACTCTCGGCTCTTTTAGGCTTCCCTCAGATTCTAGCAACAGGACCCTCTTACAGTATGACAACCTACTTCTAAGCCAGCAGGAAAATTTCTCTGTAGTGTGCCACAAAAAGAGTCTGTCTTAATGTAACCTAATCAAGGGAATGACTACCCATTAAATATCAGGTTCTGAACACACTCAGAAGGGAGGAAATTACATGTATACTAAGGGTCCAGAATGTTGGAGGCCATCTTAGAATTCTGTATACCATTTGGTTAGGGAAATAATGCTCTGCTGTTTTCAAGTAAGGATAGAGTTGTATAGGTCTAATTGTGTACGCCAAAACAAAAAAAGGAGGTACATAGTAATAAAAGGCTACACTGAAATCACCAGTCTGAAAAGGGGACTGTTAATCAGCATGAGTAAAATTAAGAAAAAGGGAAGAAAAGAAACAGTATTATAAAATAATTAGGAAATATAACATTAAGATGAGAGGGATAAAATAGATCAGAATCTTATCTATTGGTTGTCAGAAAAGTCATGCTGTTTTTTTTTTCTGGTTTTCAGTGCAAAATGCATCATGACTTTCCCAACAGCCCGATATATGTTTTGTAGGAACATACTTAAAATAAACTGATGAAGCAACTTCCTTTTCTTTCTTTTCTGCTAATGGCAAGTAGGTATTTCAGAGTAGCCTTCCTACTGAAGACACTGAAAAGCAGGACAAAAAAAATTTTTTTGAAGAGGTTTTCACTATAGTGCGCGTGCGCTCGCCAGACAGACAGAGACAGAGAGACAGAAAGTGAGAAATCACCCCCCGGGGGGATGGTCACACCGCAAACCCTTTTCCTCCATTCTCCTCTCGGGATCTTGGGCACGCATGCACACGCACCCGGCGTGAGTTCTAAGCCACTGAGTCCGGGATGCAAACTGCAGTCGACTACGTGGGAGTCCAGTGACATAGCTATTACGCTAACTGCTGGTTCCCAAGCAGGACAAAATTTTAAAGTCATTTTCTGGAGGCCAGCTGGTGGTGTGGTGGTTGTGGTGCTGGATTCCCACATTGCCAACTACAGTTTGAGTCCTGGAACCAGTGGTTTCAAAATCATAGCAGGCACATGAGCATGCCTGTAAAATCCCAAGAAGAGAATGGAGAAGGGATTGTGACATGGCCTTCCCCCTGGGGGAAGTGATTTTTCACTTTCTCTCTGTCTCCAGCAAGCATGTACACCCTATGCAAAAACCTAAAAAATGAGAAAAAGAATTATTTTGCTAAAAGTGTCAAAGAGCTAAAAAGATGATGAGTTGAGATACAAGATGAACGTTCAGAAGACAGAAATCCAGGGAAAAGGCTCAACATGTGGACTGGCTTTTGCCTAGAGTAATTGTCCTTTCCAAAAGAGGCATTGAGGCTTCTAAAAAACAGAATCAAATCCATTTGTGAGCCACAGGAATAAAATGAAGACTAGGACCTACAAAAGACAGCACTCAGAAAAGCCACTCTGCCTTTGAATTGGCCCTGTGAGGAGCTGTAGCCTTGGAGACAGGATGAACCAGAAGTAGTCCCCGTATACGTAGACTGAAGCTTAGGTATGAATCATCTCTGTACCCTAGAAATGTTAAGTCCTCAAATTAGACCAAATCGATCCCAGATTATTTCCTTAAGGATCTTGAAGAAATAGATAAAAATTTATTGTAAAGAACTATTTTCTGAAATTGTTGAAATGGTTGCACAACTCTGTGACTACGCTAAAAACCATTGAATTGCACACTTTAAACAAACTTAAATTATATCTCAAAAAAACTTATAAAAAAAGAAACCTTTGAGCCAGCTAATGGTATGGTAGTTAAGGTGGCTGGATACCACATGGACAACTGTGCAGTTAGCATCCTGGACCCTCTGGCTTGAAAAACAAGCCAGTTGTGCATGTGTGGCCAAGATCCCAAAAGGAGGAAGAAATGGAGAAGGGATTGTGGCATGACTATTCCCCATAAGGGGTGTTTATTTCTCTCCCTCCCTTTTTCCCTCTCTCTGTTTTGCTCTCTGTCTTTGGTAAGTGCATGTGCCCTCTGGCAAATAAAATTAAAAAGAAGAGAGAGAGAAGGAAGGGAGGAAGGTTGGTTGACTTTTGAGGAAGCTAATATCCTAGACCTCAAATTATTTTCATAAATAATTTTTCAAAAAGTAATCACTACCAAAAAATCACTAGGCACATAAAGAAACAATCCCATGAACAAGATTCAGTACCAGTAACAAATAACAGGAAGAGGACCACTGTTACTCCCCAGGGTGACATTATTAGACACAGACTATAAAACAGAGTGTGCTAATGCACACGTGGAGAGTAAACCAAACTAACATTTTAGGGAGAAAATAAAAATAGTGACATTGCATCACAGATGTGACCCCCCCAAAAAAATTCAAATATTAACGTTATAGTTCTGATAATGGAAGCATACCTTTTACTAGATCCGAGCTTTTGCAGATAATATCTGTACTCTGGAAAAGTTTAAAAACAGTTAACCTAAAAGGACTGAAGAGTAACCAAATGCAGGCAAGAACTAGAATGGAATCTACAATTGGCAGAAGTAAAATAGGGTGAGTTTCTATTTTTACAACTTTTCACCTGAGGATAGATACCTCTCAGCACCTGACAAGGCTGATAAAATAGTATAGGAACCTCTAGTCTGGACTTTTAATTTCATCCAAGGTGGATTAACAGGGGCCAGATTTATTTTCCTACCTGGAAGATACAAACAACAATAAACTGACAAAATATGTAAAACAATGATTTTTAAGATACTGACCATTAGGCAACAAAGGACAGTGAGCTCTGAGCAATGCGAAACAACGTGAACCCTATAATTTCTCAAGCTTAGTACCATGGAACAGTTTCCAGTTCACAGTGTAGACTGAATCCAGACAGGACCTATTGCACTCTGAGTTGAAAATACAGAGTAGAGAGTCCAAGATAGATCAAGGTAGCTAGTCTACAGGACTGGGTAATGAGATATTCTGTATAAAGAGAGAACTCCAGACATCCGCAGAGGGTCTTCTTCAGGTGCTCAGCAAAGAAATGATAAGCACATGCACGTGAAGAAACTGCCCAAGGCTGGGGATAAAATCACCCAAGGTGATACAGGGAGCAATGCCTGGTACTCAGGAACAGTGCCTGTTTCTAGATATGATTCACGCAGCATTAGGTAGAGTATTCAGAAGGGTCTTACATCAGTAAGGGTAATAATTAGCCTTAGATAAATGCTGCCCTGGTCCTGCCTAGTTTGTAAGAGAAGAGCCTAAAATATCTCTAAGTAACTTAATTATGTCAAACAACAAAGCTCAAGAGTATTTACAGACATATAGTGTTGTGCACTCAACAATACAAAATTGACTTTTGCTAACATCCATTCAGATGACCAGACATGCAAAGAAACAGGAAAATACAACTGCAATAAGGAGATAAATGGAAGCAACTCAGAATTGACACTTTATGATTGGCATATGTTAACATTAAAGGAGCAGCAGGTGGCATGGTGGTTAAGGTGCTAGACTTCCCCACACAGCCAACCACAGGTCAAGTCCTAGACCCAGCAGCTTGAAAATCACACCAGGCATGTGTGCCCCAAATCCCAAGAGGACAATGGAGAAGGGACTGCGGTGTGGCCATCCCTGCTGAGGGATGATTTCTCAGTTTCCCTCTCTTTGTCTTTATCTCTGGCGAGTGTACATACCCTATGCAAAAACCTGAAAAAAATTGTTGAAAATATATTCCATATAACAAAAAATAGGTACAGACATGGAAGATACATATATTTCAGTGTATTTATATATGTGTGTGTCTGTGTATGCATACAGTCATATGCCACATAACACTGTTTCTCTGGTGAGTGCATGTACCCTCTGCAATTAAAAAAAGAAATTCTTTTTCCTGTTTTATTTCAGATCACTTCGATTATACTTTCAAGTTCTCTAATCTTCTGCAATGTCTAAGCCACCATTTATTCCATCAGTGTATTTTCATCTCAGAAGCTAATGTTCTTTAGAAGTTAAATTTGGGATATACACACACACAGTCATATCTTGCTCAGTGACATGCATACATTCTGGGGAATGCATAGTTAGGTGACTTCGCCATGGCATGATCACAGAGTATACTACCCCTAGACAGACCTAGATGGTCTCCCAGATCCTCCACACAGCTGGAGTACAGGGCACCATCTCATGGGCCTACCCTTATATAAGTAGTCTGTGACATTTCTTTCCCCATTTTTTATTCCAGCAAAGTTGGCTGTATAGGTATGTGTTTGAGTTGTGTTTGTTTAAAAATTACCATGAACTTCTATGTTTGTAGTCAGTGAAGAGCAGCCAGAGAAGCCTCACTTTGACTCTCGCAGTGTGCTGTTTGAGCTGGATTCATGCAATGGGAATGGGAAAGTTTGCCTTGTCTACAAAAGTGGGAAACCAGGTGAGAAGCATTCACAAGCATTGTTGTATAAATAGGACCGTCTCGCCTGACCTCGCCTGTCAGCCATCACACAAATGGCACCTATCTCCCTCGCCCCCTGAGATGCTGCCAAGTCTCTTTCATGGGCCAAAGAAATCCTTTTGGTTCTCTTTGAGCATTCTCCCCTGGACTGATTATTAGTCTTTTTTTTTTTATTTTTATTTTTTTCCTTTTTGCCATCTTCATTTCTAAAATACTGCAAAACAGTCAGAGTTAGAATGATGGGTGAGTAAAAACTAACAATAATAGTCTTTCTGTTCATAGACGACTCATAGTAGGCTCATGTACTAGCTAATAAGCATCTATGAAACAATATCTGTTTCATATGAGGAGTCTTCAGAAAGTTCATAGAAAATGTGTATCATGATAAAACTATGTATAAATTTCAAAATGTTTTACACCAGAGTAACTCCTACTTTTTTTTTCTATGAGATTTTTGAAGTCCCCTTCTACTTCCAAATGTAGGCCAATTAATAGGAATAAAAAGTTGAATTACCGGTAGGCCAGCAGATGGCATGGTGGTTAAGGTGCTGAACTTTCACATGGCAGACCACAGTTTGAGCCCGGGACGTGGTGACTTGAAAATCATCTGGGGGGACCAGCAGTTAGCGTAATGGCTGTGTCACTGGATTCCCATGTAGTCAACCATGGTTCGGGTCCTGGACCCGGTGATTTGAAACTCACTCCAGGCGCGTGTGCGTGCGTGCCCAAGATCCCAAGAGGAGAATGGAGGAGAAGGGATTGCGGCATGGCCATCCCCCCTGGGGAGTGATTTCTCACTTTTTGTCTCTCTGTCTGTCTCTGTCTCTGTCTGGCGAGCATACGCGCCCTATGGCAAAAACCTCTCAAAAAAAAAAAAATCATGCTGGGCACATGTGCTTACATCCCCAAAATTCTCAGAGGAGAATGGAGAAGGGATTATGCTGTGGCCATCCTCTAAATAGGATGATTTCTCACTTCCCCTCTCTGTCTTTCTCTGTCTCCAGTGAGCACACTTACCCTATAGCAAAACCTTAATAAAAATTTTTAAAAAAAGGTGGATTACTGGACCATAATACCCTAGATGGGAAAAAGGCTCTGCTCTTGAACAGCAGCTCCCCTCTGGCGCCTAACATCACTTAGTTCATGTCCTTGATTCAGGATTATGAAACTACAGAGCTGGACAAGGCCAAGCACTCTTGTAGCTCTGTATCTGATAAGGGTGATAGTATCTGATAGTATTTACCTTTGGAAGAAGGGAGAGATCATCTCCAGCTGGAAGAATCTTTGCAAAGTAGCTACGAGCTGCATCTTGAACTATGGGTAGGAATTAGATATGGGATATGGGGTGAGAACGTTGGTGGGAGAAAGGGGGTAACCAAGCAAGGGGACCAAAAAAAAAAAAAAAAGTTGTGCTGTGTTAGAGTACAACTGATGTGGGGGAGAATGACAACTATTACTGATTCAGTGAATTGCGTGGTTCGTCTAGGGGATGAGGAGAAGATGAAGCTAGAAGGCCAATTGCCCTTGCTCATGTGGAGCTCTGAAAGTCAAGAGGAGGAGTTTGGACATAATGTGAAAGACAGTGGGGAGTCCTTCAAGGTTATTTAGCAGAATGCCAGGATTCAAATTACAATACTTGTGACCACAAGCAGTTTTGAAAAAGGAAGAAACTAGATGATGGAGGCCACTTAGAAGTTACAGCTGTCTCAACAGCAGATGAACTAGGATAATCTTGAAGTACTGATAGTAAGAACGAAAGGTCAGAAACAGGTGCGAGACAGGCGCTCTGGTGTGGTAGTGCCTGCTTTGGCTCAACCAGGACTTCACACAGCACAGGCAAGACTCTCAGGATTGAGCTGCTCTGGGCTGCTTCATGGTCGTTTTCATAGCACTTCTGATACCTGAGAAAGACCTCTTCAAAAATGCCTGAGCCAGGCCAGCCAGTGGTGTGGTGTTAGGGTAGCTGGAGCCTACATGGCTGACTGTGCGATTTATATCCTAGACCCATCAGCTTGAAAAACACATCAGGCCCATGTGCATGCATGCCCCAAATCCTGAAAGTGGAGGAGTTGCCGTGTGACCATCCCCCATAGGAGGTGCTTTCTTACTTTTCTCCTCTCTGGCGAGTGCACTCACCATCTAACAAGTTAAATAAATAAATAAATAAATAAATAACCTGAACCATTCAGAGTTCTCTCCATCAGGAAAGATGAGACTATAGTGTGTATCCACTGAGGAACAACAGAAAAAGAGCATCTGCTTAGATGGCCCGCATGTACTTCCAGACGGTCAGAGCCCAGCAGATAGATCCATCAATTGATCAATCAAGAATTTATAAAAGAGTATCAAACGGACATAAAAATGGCCACAGGGGAAGTCAGAAGGGGAGAAACTAACTTTTACTATATTTTTCATCCTTTTCGTTATTGTAATTTTGTAAACCGTGAATATATATTAACTTTATAGTTAAAAAGAAAAAGCTTTAAGCTATCCCTTATCGTTTATTTTCTTTGCTATTTCAGCATCAGCACAAGACACTGAAATCTGGTTTCTAGACAGAGCATTATACTGGCATTTTCTCACAGATACCTTTACCGCCTATTATCGCCTGCTCATTACTCACCTGGGCCTGCCCCAGTGGCAGTATGCCTTCACCAGCTATGGCATTAGCCCACAGGCTAAGGTAAGGGAGGAACACCTGTTACCTCAATTGTGTGTATCGAAATATTCCATGGAAATGATTAAACTGTAGTTTCCTACCTTCACCATCAGATTCAGCAGATTGGGGCGGGGGGCAGGAGGTGGCACCAAAAAACTCACAGTTTCAATAAACAAAGCAGGCGATTCCAATAAGTAGACTAGTGATAGTTAAGTGGTTTCCAAACAGCCAACTGTCAGAGTCACCTATAGAGTTCATTTTTAATTAAACTTTACTGAGGGGATTGAGTCTGATTGATCAGCAATACATGCATATAAAGAGAGTGGAAAGTTAGTCTTATTTTCCTATACTCCCAGTGTTCTCCCAGAGGCAGCCACTGTTACCCACTTTCTTACATACTCTTCCCAAGGTACTCATTGCATCTACCAGGGAGATTCAGAAAGTGAAGGTAGAACATTCATATTATGAAAAAGCTATGCGCAGGTTTCATTTTTTATTTTTGCACCAAAACTAATTTCCTTTCAGCTTTTTGAAGTGGCATTGTAAAATATGCACGCATACGTTTTAGGCTTTCTTTCTTCGAAATCACAAGTATAACGTACTATTCACATTGTTCTGTGTCTTATTCTTTTCAGTTAATACTCCATCTTGGAGCTCATTACGATTTCGTACAGAGTTATCTTCTTTTTAATGGCTACAGAGTATGCCATTGTATGGATTTGCCTCATTTAAATTACAGGTCTGGGCTCCGTTTCAAATAAACAGATGCCAGGTAATACTGATATACAACCTGGTTCGAGAAGACCAAGTGTAGCCGGAAGAACTTTTGACTAGAGTGAGCTAATCTAGACTGCCTCACGGTGGTTTTTCACGGCACTAAACTAGCAATAAATTATGGGCTCTTCTCCATTGCCACCCTCCTGGATATCCATCCGGCGAACTTCATGGTAACTTAAATGTTGCAGACTGATAGCATCCATCTGTCCACCTTGAGGTGGTTCTTATCAGTGAGAGGTTCTGTGCCCTCAGCTGCCTAGAGAGGGAAGAGAACAACACATGCAGCTTTGTTCAGCAGAAGCTCACAGGGGTCTTTTGTGGTGTACCCCTCCTGGGAGAATGGTGGTATGCTGCCAGAATCCACCCCATGGGGAAGCTGGTTTGAAGATAACAACTAGGAGTACACTGTCTCCTGGTGATTTGGAATCCAGCCTCTCAGGCTCAAGGCTTATTAGATCAGAAGAAAAGGGGGTAATCAGAGTCTTCATTCTCATTATGCATAAAGGTTATGAGACTTTATAAAAGTTTGACTGTCTTACCAGGATTGTTGGGTCAGTCTTTACTTTCACTTAAAGAGCTAATAGATTTTTGAGACTGTTTTTCATAAAAACTTGGATGCTTTTTTTCTGCCTCCTGTCCCCAACCTTCTGTCCGTCTCCCCACTAGAGTACAGTGAATGTCATTTCTTTGAATTGTGACCCTTTTTCTCCATTCTGCCTTACAGCAATGGTTCAGCATGTATAAACCCATCACCTACAACACAAACCTACTTGCGGAAGAGACTGACTGCTTTGTGAACAAGCTGGATCCTAGCAAAGTGTTTAAGAGCAAGAACAAAATCTTAATCCCAAAAAAGAAGGGGCCAGTGCAGCCTGTAGGTGGCCAGAAAGGGCCCCCAGGCCCTTCCACCTCTAAATCGTCCTCTGGCTCTGGAAACCCTGTTCGGAAATGAGCACCCCTACCTCCAGCTCCCACTAGCCCCACAGTGGCAACTTCCTTGCACACATGGCCCCAGGGGTGGCTTTCTCCCCAGATTCTGTGAGTAGAACCATATTCCTTTTCCCATCTGAGTGGCCAAAACCTGGACCTCTAATTCCCACTGACATTAGTCAGGAGTAAGTGAGTAAGTGCATACTAAAATCTCCCCAAGTGCCCTTCCCTCATACTTCTCACAGTGGGTTGTACCATCCTCTGCCTTGGGAAACATTGGGGAATTTTGGACCTTGCTTAAGTGGCCAAATAAATCTGAGAGCTTTCCCCTCATTCTGTTGGGTTGTTGGAAAAGTCCTGACACATTTTTGCATAGGAAAACAGAAAAAATGCATCATGACTTTTTCAACATTCCCAATACATCTGACCCTCAGTCCCTTAGCAATGATTAGACGATTCCCCCAAAGAAACCACTGGTTTTCACCATGAGACATCAGAACTGCACTGTTCAATTAGAAGCTGCTAGTCACATATGGCCATCTAAATTAAATTTTTTGAAAATCTCATTTCCCCAATTGTATTAACCAATTCAAGTAGTCATACGTGGCTCGTAGTTTCCATGGGGGACAATGCAGAGATCTAGGACATTTCTGTCATCACAGGAAGTTCTGTTGGATGACACTCCATCAGGATATACAGACTATTCTCAGACTAATTACATTTTGTTGTTAGATAATATTGGTATCTTAATTTGGCAGAGATTATAATGGTCCATGAGAACTCAGATGCAATTATATGTTATTTATATTCTTTACCACAAATCTATCTCGCTCTTGTACTTCGTTTTGTTTCCTTTAAAGTTTATCTTTCTCATCAGTGTCATATAAAGTTTCTTGCTTCCAGTTTCACGTTGAGGTGTGTTTGCACACTTGCCACACTTGTCTGTCTTATTTATCCATATTTAAGTACTTCTGTACATTATTCTAGCCATTTTGAAACAAAAAAACAAACTTTCAAACATTGCTTTGCAGGACTCTTCATAAAGAACTTTGATTAAAAAACCAGTTGACTGAGCACTTTTTAGTCATTGATATAGAGTGACTGGTTAATTGACGTACTGACATTTTGAGTAGATATGATAGTCCTCTACCTATAGCTTGAGGAAAGTATTATATTGGACCTTATTTCCTCAGAACTGTGATGAAACCAGTGTATATGTCATTTCCAACCAAGCAGCTTCCATGCTCTATTTTATACCTAAAGTAGGGAACCAAAACTATTAGCCCATGGGCTAAAACTAGCTTATTAGCTGTTCTTGTGGATAAAGTTTTATTGGGACACACACACATTTAAACAAACAAAAAAAAAGTTGTTAACAAAAGTTCTCTACCCTTTGTGCCTTTTTACAACTGTGAATTGTTTCTCTGCACTGTCTGTTCCCTGGCCATCCTTAGGAAAGCTTAGAACAGAGTGGGGTTCCAAGTATTCCTTTGTAAGTAAGTTTCCGCCAATTCAGAAAGGATTTCCCCAGGACCAGCAGATGGCATAATGGTTACATCCCTGGACTCCCATGTATTCGACTGCAGTTCAAGTCCTAGATCCAGCAACTTAAATCTCATGCCAGGTGTATGTGCATGTGTGCCCAAAATCCTGAGAGAAGAATGGAGGAGAAGGGACTGCAGTGTGACCATTCCCTAGGGGCGGGTGGGGAGGGTGATTTCTCGCTTTCTGTCTCTCTGTTGCTCTGACAAGCACCCACGCCCTATAACAAAAATCTCTCCTAAGGGAAAAAAAAATAATTTTCCCTTAGACTCACTGGGGGAGGGGTATGAAACCCCTAGCTGGCCTATGTATTCCTAATAGTTGATACTAGTTAAATCTAAACTTATCTACTATGTCTACGTGAATTTCTGTAGAGAAAGTTGCTCAGGTTTTCAGTTAGGAATGTCTTCCTCACTTCGCAGTAGGCAAAAAGCAGGAAAAGTGGAGAGTGACCCATCCAGCCTCATGGTTGGGTGGCTGAAGAATTTGTACTGAAGTCCCAGAGGCTGGATAATGATGAGTTCTGAGCAGTGAGGGGGAGAGCCTTGGAGCATCATCACACTTCAATCCCAATAGACTCACATGCCCTCTTTCCTGACTTTCTTCCTGTGCACTGCCTCCACCTGTTAATCAACCCAGAGTTTCTTTCATGACCCACTGAAAGCAATCCCCAGGATTCTCCAGCTGCATTTCTGCTCTGAAACTATTTTGTGCTAAGTTTTAAAAGTTTTGTTATGATTGACTGCAGTGATAAGATATTCATGAAAAAGGCTTCAGTCCTCCTACTTAACCACTTTCCATAGCCCGTGAGGAAAGCCAAGGTGAGTTGACCTTCAAGGATGGGGCAAACTCTTGCCGGCTGCCTCCCTTTTTTTATAGTAGTTCAAAATGTTAGTGCTCAGTAAGCCTTTGGCAGCATAAACTAAACTTCACATATACAGCTTATTCAATTGCCTTAAAATGTGCATGCACATCACCTATTCCAGTTTCTTTCTAGTAGAAAATGTTTAAAATAGTATCACCTCTTAGTTGCAATCCCAGAACTAACCATTTACAATTCAGCCTGGTTATTTAAACATTTTTGTGTATTTTTTAAAATGTAACATGATACTCTAAACATTTCCCTATTCTAGAATACATTTTGACCTTTAACTGCTTTAGTTTATTACCCTTCGAGCATTGTAAGTGTGCAGTAGTTCATGGAGTGGAAGGGAAAGAGAGAGAGGGACTGAGTTGTCAAAGAAAATAGCTAGAGTTTAGTCTTTCAGAAGTATTTTTCTGGCCAAAACGATCAAAGAGAGAACCAATAGAACTAGTTAACAAATTCCAGCATTTGGCTGCTTCTCCAAGACAAGTCAAGGTTTCTGGAGACTGAGAAGTCATGTTATTGTCCATTTTAGTAGCTATCTTTCCCTTAGTACTTGTTGAGCCCCAGAATTACTTCTAAATCAGTCTCAGTCCAAGCTCCACAAGTCAAAAAACAGAGGATCCAAGAGAACAGTGGTTCCCTTCAACTCAGTGACATTCAGAGGGAATCCTGAAAAGTCTGCCAAAGACGGGGTTATGAAAAGGAAAGGCTCAAGACCTGCCTCTGAAGGAGAGAGCAGGGAAAAGCCAGGCTGGCGACATAAAGTGCAAGATGCAGGGCACATGAGGCCTCTTGATCAAAAGTCGAAAATACCATTAAAGATAAGAAAATAGAATGTTCTTCCTTTCTTCCATGGTCTCTCTCTCAACTTCTGGTGTTTGGTTTTTTTGTTTTGTTTGAATTTAGTGTTTAATGCTATTTTAAGTAAATAAAAATTAGCATACATTTTACCATTCATCTTTATATTATGTAATTTCAGTTTAAAACGCAAATATGAGCATTAACTCATGCTGAATCACCAAAATTATACAATTTGTATTTCATAGCTTATATATACCTACTGTATGCATATGTATTTCATTCTCTCTAGAACTGAAGACTCGACTACACAAAACTAGCTTAACTAGTGTTATACTATGTCTTATCATGTGGACTGTCAGCACTCTCTACTTTCTGCTTCCTGGCGAACAGGGAAAGACTGAAAGAAAAGTGAAGTATGAGATGACCCATGTTTTCCTTTTTCCTGTCATCATTTTCAGCTTACGTGGTTGACTAATACAGGAAAGAAGGGGGGAAGAAAGGCTATAGAGTTCCTTGTTTATCTATGGTTCTTAGACTGTCATTACTTCTTTCTACCTTCAGAGCAAGTCTGGCTCAAATGGAAAGGATGGTCTCCTGGTGCCTTCCATACGTCCCATTTGGTCATAGACATAACATGCTTACCTTGTACTCACTCTGAATTTCTGAACTCTGAGGCATCACAGGTCCACTGGAGTTCTTTGCTCACAGCCTCACAGCTCTCTATGAATGAGATGGTAAGAAACAGTGAACACATACATTGCACAAATCTCCTCTGCTCACGTGTGTGCTCCATGGTCCCATCAGACTTCATTAACAGAATGCAAGCTTGGACAGAATTAAGAATGTCAGGGCCAGCAGGTGGCATGGTAGTTAAGGCGCTGGACTCCCACTTGACCGACCACGGTTCAAGTCCAGACCTGGCGGCTTGTGTTCTCACTTTCTTTCTCTTTCTCTCTGACTCTGGTGACATGAGCCTTGTTGCAAACTAAAAAAATAATTCTTAAAAAAAAATATTTAGGACCAGCCCTGTGGCATGATAGTTAGGGGAGCCATATCCCATATGGTTGATCAGGCAGCTTGAGAGACATGCTGGGTGTGTGCATACCCCAAAATGTCATAAGGATGGAGAAATGGAGGAGAGGGGATTGCAGTATGACTGAATCGCACTGGGGCACTTTCTTCCTCTCCCTGTCTCTGTACCAAGTGTGTGTACCCTCAGAAATGTTCAAATTGCCAAAGAATTCTTAATTTTTTAAAATATGTTACAAAGAATTTCAAAACCCATTCACCCAGTATGCATGTTGCTAATACAAAGACTCCGCTCTGCTGTCTGGGACCACATGGGAGTTTCGGGTTCTATTCTCAGTCCAACCTAAAAGCCAGACATGGTAGCATGCACCCAAAATCCCAGCGACTCCCAAGAGGATTGCGAGCTCAAGGCTGGCCTGAGCAACATGGCAAGACTGTCTATAAAAGACCCAGAGAGGGCTAACAGGTGGCATGGTACTTAAGGTGCTGGATGGACCCCACATGGCCAACCACAGTTCATGTCCTAGATCTAGAGGATTGCTTTCTCACTTTCCCTCTGTCTCTGGTGATTAAAATAAATAAATAAATAAAAATAAATATTTATTTTAAAGAAGCAGAAACCCAGACATGGTGGTGCACCTATAATCCTGCGGAGCTGAGGCAGGAGGATCGTCCCTTGGAGAGACAATCTTTAAAAAAATTAAAAAAAAAAAAAAAAGGGGGCTCAAAAGATCGCATAAGGATTAAGGGGCTAGACTCCCATATGGTTGACAGTGGTTTGAGCCTCGGACCCAGCGGCTTCAGAATCAATGCCAGGTGCTTGTGCATGCGTTCCCAAAATCTTGAGAGGCGAATGGAGGAGAAAGGATTGCAGTGTGCCCACCTCCTTGGGTGATTTCTCACTTTCCCTTTCTCTGTCTCTCTCTGGTGAGTGTACATGCCCTTAGGCAGAAACTAAAGAAAAAAAAAAGATAAGCAGTTCAAGACAGTGACAGAATAGTATTAAACTTAATATGTGTCCCTTATGTCTATGGGGCCGTGTGTGACTGCATAGGTCACCTGCCCATGAAGGGAAAAGGAAGCAATTCTCGCAAAAGACTTAACATGGAGGTCAGGTGAGTTAAATGGAGAGAAAACACCCGTAAGATTTATGTTTTGAAATGAAAGTAAGTAACAAGGCAGTAAGTTCTATTTTAAATCACTAGTCCAGGAAAAAAACACTATGTTGGAGCCACAGACAGGATAACTGGCAGAATGCCTTCCAGTACGTTGATGTACTTAAGACTGTGCATAAAGTGCCACATCATCAGGCTGCTTGCAGGGAAATAGCCAAGCCAAGGCCAGGAGTGTAAACGGGCAGCATGCACGTGATAACCCACAGAATCTATTCTTCAAAAATGCACCATTGTCATTGGAGTCGTGTGCAACGTAAGACACCCAGGTTAGACTCCAGACCTAGTAAGATTGTGAGGAAAAGCGTCAGGCATCAGGGTTTTTAATCCACTGAAATAGTGACAGTGATGCTCACTGAGTCTGAAATTTGTGACTTAATGGGTCTGGGTAGTTTTGATTTAATTGCATGGAGGAGTTCAAAATCTGTTTTTAATCCAATAAAGTACATATAATGACTGAAACAGAAGGAGCAAGGGACCTCTTAGTTTCTGTGTAAATGCATGTTTTTTTCTAAACTTGTACTATGGAGAATTTTAAACATTTACAAACAGATAGATTTGGTATAAAGAGTCCCCATATATCCATAATCCAGCTTTAATAATGATCAAATCATGGCCAGTACGCCTCAAATTTTACTTTATTTTTGAAATATTTTTTTTTC